AGCTCTGGAACCTTTGGAAAATTTGGACTTCCAAGCCCTCTCCCTGGAGTTTCAGGGGAAGGTCTGGTTCTTGCAACTCACCTGGTCTGCCCCCATCTTTTACATCTCCAGCTGAGAGCCTCTCTCTCAGACTCTCTCACCTGCTAGAGGAAGCTTAAGAGACAGGAAGAGGAGGGGCCCCCACAGAGGCTGCAGGATGGAGGAGCAGGCACCAGGGTGGAAAATGCAAAGAAGTGTTGGAAAGAGAGTTCACTGGACTCCACAGGTACCCTTTGCAGGTGACAGGTACCCCCCAGCCTGCCCTCCAATCTGTTCCACTATGGTTTGCTGCTCAGGGCTAGGCCCTGGCCTCAGGGTGTAGTAAGTTGGAGAAGTAACCTAACCTCAGTTGGAGCAAAGGTCATTCTGAAGGACTAGAGAGAGATGGATGTGGAAAAGGAGGCAGAGGCAGAGGCAGAGGCTGGAGGGCAGAATGGAAGTCAGGCATGCTGGGGAGGCAGGGTGCACAGGCCTCACAAAGGGCCCAGATGGCCCCTCTGAGGTCCCTTGGTGAGCCCAGTGATCATAGCTTTTACAGCTGTGTCCAGCCATAGGCACCCTCACTGGTCACCTGCTTCAAATGGTGATGGGGCTAGTGGGCTCAGGTGAGCTGACAGGACCCACCCTGGGGAGGGAGTGGTGAGTGTGCAGGTCAGGGGAGCAGAGGCTCTGGCCAAGAGGAATGAAGTGGCAGTTAGCAGCCCAACATCCGGCCCTGCCCAGTGGTGACGCGGTAACTATGCGAGAAGCCTGGAGGCATAGGGCAGAGTCTGTGGGGTATCTCTTAAGGGGCGAGGCTGGTGTCTGAACCTGGCCCCTACCCCAGTCTCCCTAGGTCAGCCTGGGCTCCTGGCTGGCCTTTGTCTGGAGCCCCAGCTATGGACACAGGAAGTGGCTGTTTCTCTGTGCTGTGCTGTCTCCCTACCAGACCTGGTGAGAACATAGGAGGGGTGTGGGGGACTAAGCAACACCTCATGGTGGGGCACATTGGGAGACTCTGGGCACATGACCTCTGACCTGCTGGCTTGGGTTGGGGTGGGGGGAGGGTTCGGCCCCATCCTGCCTGATGGCGGCACTGCACAGAGGACGCTGCCCAGGCACAGGGGCTGAAGGCCACCATGTGGGGCAGGGGGTGGGGGGTCCAGGCTGCTCCTGCCCAGCCACTCCAGTAAGACCCCAGGGCCCGGCACACAGGAGGCACTTAATAAATGTGGAATAATCAACTTTGGGCTTCTTCCCAAATTCATCCCTACTCTGATATTCCACCCCTATGCTGAACCCTCAAACCTTCCCAGACATCCTCTTCCTCCTCCAAAGCCTGACACTATACTGCCCTCTCCCTTAGGCTCACGCCGCCAATCACCAACCAATCCTGGGGGTCTTTCTCCAACCCACATTCTTTGACCTTCTGGTGGGCCTTGGGAAGTCAGTGTTTGAGTGTCCAGAGCTGGCGAGAAGTTGAGGGTCTCTTAAAACCCCAACTGACACATTCTCCCTGCCTATGCCCTCAGGACTATTGCAGCCTTCAAGGCCTCAACCCACCCAGCTGGCCTCTACAGCTGTCCCCACCACTGGAGCTCAGGAGAAAGAATGGACTCCCACAGAAAACCAGAATTGGGGTCAGCTGTCCCCAGGGAGTACACAGTGGCCCCCCAGCATCCTCTAGCTGCCTCCGCTGCCTCCTAGCAGTTAAGCCCTAGTGCTGGCTGAGCTAGGCTAATTAATGGCTTGCTGGATTCCATTATTAGTCAAGTGCTGATTACTCTTTTTAATTAGGGCTGCCTGTGTGAAGGTTCCAGGAGGCCCAGCAGGGACTTGGGGAAGACTGGGGAGTCGTGACTTCAACCTTCCTGTCGAAGGCCCCACTAAGCACTCTTGATAGAGCCGTTGTTCCTGCCGTTCCCTCTGCCAGAATGTCATCCTCCCTCCCTCTGGCAAACTCCTCTCTCTCCAAGACCTTGCCTAGGTGGCCCCTTGGCTAGAGGTCAACCCCTCACCCCAGTCACTGCTGAACTAAGAGTGGAGGCTGGCCTTGGCCTCCAGAAGGGAACCTGGAAAGCTAAACTCATGAGGAGGCTGCCCAGGCAGAAGAGGCTGCGGAGGCCTAAGGCCTGGATCATCCTGAGAGTAAGCCGGCATTGAGAGGGTCTTAGGCCACCTTGAGGGGGACTTTGGTTCTATGGAATGGGGGTGAGGAGCCTCCTCCCATACCACCAGGTCCTGAGGAAGAGGCCCCACCAAACTGCAAGCCCCTGAGGCTCAAAGTACAAACTGGCCCTGGACATACATGTAACCAACCATCCTGTGCACACTGGACCCAACAGCCCTCTACTTCACCCGCCTCCCACACAGACATAAGAGACACATAGCCTGACAGACAAACCTTCCCTGAGTATACACAAATACACACAACCAAGACACACCAAGATACACACATACGCACACAGACATTGACAGATACAGACACCTGGGACATGGGGACACACAAACACAACCCCATACCCCACAATCCCTTACACACCCATAGTCACATGCCCACACCCCCACCGTCCCCCAGCCCCAACTCCAGCCCCACCCCCACACACTCTCACATACCCACACATACCCACAGCACTGCCAGGAGAACAGAAGCTGTCCCTGCTCCTGCCCTGGGCCCCTAGGACTTCCCTTTACGAGACTTTATCTATCAAAAATATATTAACCCAGAAGCCTGTTTCTATCATAGTCTCGATTCCAGGGACATTTCCAGATAAGCCTTATCTCATTGCTGGTGCATTAGCATGACTTGTCGGGGGCCTGCCGATCACGGCTGCCCCTCCTGCCCCGGCCTGTGGCAGGATGCCTACCCATGACTTCATTCTGGATGAGCAGACAGGCAGGCAGGGGAGTGGGCTGGGCACTGCTGTCCCCCTATCCTCTGCCCAAAGCAGGCTCCAGAGGGCACCTTGTTCCAAGCATACACCAAGGCGCTGGGGTCAGGGGGGACCCTGGAGTCATCCAGAACCTGGGTTCAAATCCCAGTTCTACCTGAGGCAATGGCTAGGCCAGCTGAGCCTAGTTCCCTGCCTCCCCATCCCCCCACCCCCATGTAAAATTGGAGAGACACTTCCCAGACCACCCCTATGAGCAGATTCATTGAGTTTATACATGTGATGGTGGCTGCAGTGGGCTTAGCATGCCATAGCCCTCTCCTCTCAGGCCTGGGGATGCTGGGAGCCAGGAGAAGTCTGTCCTTAGAATACTGGGCACTGGCCCTGCCCTTGCCCACCAGCTCCACTGTGCCTCCCTTTCAAAGGCTGCGCCCTAGCCTGACCTGGCTCATGGGCCACTCGGGGTTTCAACTGATGCCAGGCCTGATAGAGGCCCCTTCTGTGGCAGTCGGCCACACTGTAGGCACAGCCATGGATTGCTCCCTCTTCCCCTTTGTGCCTCAGTTTCCTCCACCTGAGCCCCCCCCCCACTGCCCCCACCCTGGGCTTGGAGGAGTGATGTCTTTAGGCAAGATGTGAGGTGGGAAGAAAGGTGTGGATGGACATGGGGGCCCTCACAGAGATCCTGGAAAAATGGCCATTCAGGGCAGTGCTGGGTCTGGGTCTGCCTGCACCATTCCTGAGGGGTCTGTGGGCCTCTCATCTCAGTGGAGAAACTGTGTCTGCTGGCCCCACTCCCAGGGCTGTGGATAATATGATGGCTGGCAGTGCTCCTAGGTGACTGAACAATCCCATGAAACAGCTGCTTTTATTATCACCTCATACATGGGATATGCAGGCACAGAGGTTAGGGGCTTGCCCAAGGTCACAGCAGAGGGGCCAGGATGTAACCCAGGTGGTGGCTCTAGTTCACCCTGTGTCCTTCATTCCCTCACCCCCATGGATCTGTCCCCAGAACTATTTCTTGCTTACTAAGCACTTCTCTATGCCCACAGGGAGGGATGGCTCCACTAGGTCACATGTCCCCCCCACTAAAAGAGAGGGACAGTGACATGCCTAAGGTCACACAACCCGTACAGGGAAGAGCCCAGGCTATTCTCTATCCCAAGTTGCAGGGACCCCCAGAGGGGCCTGAATGGAGAGGTTGGCCTCACAGCCCTTGGCCAAGGAAGACTCAGCCTGGCTGTGGGGTTACTCAGCCTCTCCAGCCTCAGCTGCTCACATTCTGAGAATGATGGTGGATGGGGTTTTCCTCATCTAAGAGGCAAGTCCCTGAAGACCCCAGCTCCACCCATCTGTGTCTACTCCAAAGAGCTGAGTGGCCACAGGAGGTGGCCAGTCCTGGACCTGGCACCATTAGGCACTCACAAAGGACTATCCTGCTCCCCTAGCAATGGGCTGAGCAGGAGCTGCAGGGCCTTGCCCTGGAGTCCTCACTGGGAGCCTGCTGCCTCCCTGAGCTAGAGTGGCCTCAGTTCAACGATACCATCTCTCCAAGGAGATGGTCTGTTGGGCAGGGGTGGGGGTTACAGAAGAGGGGCCAAAGCCTGGCCCATAGTGGCAGGGTGGGCCATGCAACATGCCCACTGCCATTACTGGAGGCATCCCGTCAGGTGGTGGCAGCAAGGCTCCCAGGAGCTGGGGGGCAGATCCCCTGGGATCCCACAGCTGAAGAAGGAGTCGTGCTCAGGGCCTTGTGTCATTCTCCCCAAATTCTTCTTCCGGTTCATTTCCAGCCCAGGGAGAAGTGGGGGCCAGGCCTGGACACTCTCTGCCCACCCAGGTCTCAGCTGTCGCCCTTGACTGCTGCCCCTCACGGGTCCCTACAAGGGCCTGTGGGGGTCTTGGCCAGCCACCTTCACCTGCACCCTTTCACAAGGGGCCCTGTCCTACTGCTAGTGTGTCTAATGAGGGCTGCCTGCTGTGGGCCACCGCATACAGGGACAGCATGTTCTGCAGCATCACTCCTTTTTTCCTCTCTGCTGGCAGCGCCAGGGCTTAACAACTCTAAGTCATTTGATCAAAACCGGCCTCTGTTCATATTTTTAATGCCATTTTTGAAAATTAAAGTATAATACAACCAATTACTGAGATAAAAGGGAGGCCTCTTCGTCTGTCTGGAGGCCAAATAAAGGAACGTTGGAACACCTGTTCATCCTATGAATATCTTTAAAAGCTTTGTTTTCCCCTCAATCAGTTGGTTCTGCCATTTCACCCTTTTCTGAGTATCAATAGCTTGGGCTTCAAGGTGGGTGCAGGGGGCAGAGGAGCAAGGTCTGATCTCACTTCCCCTGGCCTACAGTATGCTCTGTGCAAGGCTGTTACCGGCCCTCACCTTCATATTCAGGGGAGAATGTGGGCCCCAAACATGAAGGCAGGGACCTAGGGACTCCTAGAGTCGGAATGGAAGAGAAACCCCTTTAGCCTACCTCTGCCCAATGCCCTGGCCCAGTACCCCACTGTACCCTGACATCCTGTAGGTGTCCTTCTCGGACTCAGATGCTCAGAGAACCCCTATGCCCTCTGAAGGACCAGGAGACCCCAGAGGCTACCCGGCCTGGCCTAGGGTCCAATATCCTGTGGACTCCTCAGCCCACCTTGGCAGAAGCCCTGGGTATGGGTGAGGGATCCCTCAGGTGAAATCGGAGAGACCGGCAGTGGGGGACACCATGAGACATTTATTTGCAGCTGGCAAGTGCCCGGAAGCCAGATGAGGACAGAGTGGGGAGCGACCCTCCATGAGGCCACCAGCTGGGCACCCTGGGAGACGCTGGCTACCAGCTCTCCAGCCGAGGCCCATTCTTCCTTGGATGCTATCCCTTAGTGGGAGGGTGTAGGGGTGGAAGGACGCTGCTTCGCACCACTCCCTGGGCTTCTCACTGGGGCTGAACGCTGCGCCTGGGGGGCCTGCTGCCTATAGGGCTGTGGGGAGACTGCAGGAAGTCAAGGCATGTCTGGTTGGGTGTTTGGCACTCTGGCCTAGCTTAGGCCTGGGCATGGTGGTCCTAGGGATGATCACTGGGGCACTCAGGGAGACTGGACCATACGCTTGTGGGTGTCGAAGACATAACGCTTAAAAGATAGGCTGAGTGCCACATGTTGCGCAGGCTCAGGCCGATCCACGCCTTCCTCCTGCTTGGCTGCCTCCACTCGGCCAGCCCGGCTCCGCTTCTTGAGGGTGAGTGTCAGGATCTTCTTAGACTCGGGGCTGAGGCCACCTGCAAGGCACAATGGAAGACCCTGTCATTCTGACACTCCCTAGGCTACTCACTTGATACCCTGAATGGGCACTTGTACTGGCCAACCTTCACACCCACCTACCCTTAGGCCGAGCTCAGACCCCCAACGCCCCTCTGGGCTTGCCCCTTCTGCTTCCTTCCCCAGCCAATGGATCTCTGAGGACTGTGGTCCACTTTGTCACCTAAATCCTTGCATCTTACCCACCCCACCACACTAGTTTATGCTACTGGTCTGCCTAGCTTGGAGCTCAGTAGGTCTCCTGCCTTGGTCTCCTGGTCCCTTGCTTACCCACCCGTCCTGGACTCAGGGCCCCGTGGGGATCAGCCCCAGAACCGGTGTCCATGTCCTTCCTCTGCTCTGAATGGTCCCATTGCTTTCCGGCATACTCAGGCTGAGACCCATACCTCAAAATTGAGGCCCACCAGGCTAGGCGTTTTCCACTCTCCACCGCTCTGTGGCCTGAAATGCTGATCTCTGCTGACGGCACTGTGGGCTCCCATGCCCTCGGCCTCTAGTTGAGTTCAGCTAATGGGAACCTCAGCAGAGCAGAGGGAGGAGGACAGAGTGGCCAGGGTGTTGACCCTACTCTTTTGGCCAGAGCTCCTGTTAGGGGTCCTTCTCACTGGGCTCTGGAAGATAGATGCTGTTCCCCTGTCCCCAAGTGGGGGTGGAAGCAGCCTCTCTGCTTCCCACCCTGTCTTACTTGCTCATTTACAGTACAGATTCTCTGTTCACTCCCTCTAGCTGAACTACTGAGTGGAAATCTTCCAGCGCCCTCGCCCCCCCAACTGTTTTGGTGCTTTCCTTGCAGCTTTGAGGAACACAGGGCTGCTCCTGGGCTCCCATCACACTTGAGCCTTTGCATATACTGTTCCCTCTGCCTGGAATACTCTTCTTTTCCCACCCTGCTTGTCCTGAAATACCAGGTTATAGTATCCTTTATCAGGGGCTTGTTTTTATGAGGAATCTACTTGGTGGTAGTACGGCACAGTCTCCTTGTGGGCTGCTGGCCTGGAGGAGACCACTCAGCTGGCCCTGAGCACAGATGCCAGGCCCCACCGCAGCTCTACATCAGTGGAGAGCCCTGGTACAAGCTGTCACCCTCCGTGAACACCACAACTATGCTAGGAGGCCCTGGTGGGAGCAAGCTGGCAGGGCTGTGGCAAGGCTGAGCTGAGGAAGCACCACGAGATTGGTATGCAGCAAGCAGGCCCATTGGGTGGCAGCACCTGGGACTTCTGGGTGAGCTGGATATGAAGCCTTCATAACCTGGTGAGGGCAAGTGGGATAGAGCTCATCCCACACCCTGCTTGCCAAATGAAGGGTCCTGGTAGGCCTCTGTGTCCCCCAGAGGCACTTCTGATTTGCTTAGTGGGGCTGCATCGGCCAGTGGATGCCCAGATCTGGCGGTAAGTTGAGGGTAGGCACCGTGCTCTACGTCTGCTAGCACCTAAAGGGGTTCCTCCCTGGCCCATCTTGCTTGGGTGCTAGCTCAGAAGAGAAGCCAGCTATGGAGCTTAGGTGTCAAGCTTCAGTGATGGGAGGACCTGGCCCAGTGTGCCTCAATTAGGGGAGTGCTGGGGGGCAGGGGCAGGTGGGTTAGTTCTTGCTTAGACTAGGCAGGCACTCCATGTATGTTTGCTAATGATTTCAGCAACCCCTTCAATTTTGCAGATGGGAAAATGGAGCCCGAAGAGCAAGGAGGGCGATGGCTTACTCGAGGCCCCACAGTGAGTCAAGAAGAGATAGGATTTGATCCCTGGGCCTGCATCTGTGGCAAATGCAGGGTACTACTCCCAGCCCGTCACTCTAGGGGGCATCCACCTTAAGTAGACTCCCAAAAATGGTTCTATAGGGTAATGCAGGTTGTAAGAGCATTTTGTACCCGTCCTGCAGCTCCTGAACATTTAAAACAGTGGCTAGGAGGCTCTGAATGACTTCCCCACTGCAAGAAGGACTCTGCTTCTCTCTCCACAGATGGAGGTGAGATTGCTAGCCATCGCAAAGTCTGCATCCCCTGAGACACAAACTGATATTAACGGGGCTCCAGGACACGGTGGGCCTTTGGGGGTCTGTACCAAGGGGAGCAGCCCTCCTGCTAGGCGGCACAATGTCTAATCTCAGGCTCCACACCCTGCTGGTCTCCTTGCCTCTGGGATGGGGTGTGGGGCGTGGGAATGGCCCTGGGCCAGCCCCTAAGAGCAAGCGCCAGTCCTGCAGGTATCTGATTCTCCAAATCAGAGCCCCGGTCTTCCTTCTGCAAACAGAGAAGGTGGCTGGCACCAGACCCTGACAAATGGCATGGGCAGCCTGTCTCCCTCTGGTGCCAGGAGGTCTGATGGCTGAAGAGGTGCGGGGCTCCCCGGCGTCTGTGTCAGGCTGGGGCGACAGGTGTGGCTCAATCGGCGGCCCATCTCGCCCAAAATGGCTCTCGTTACATACAGTGCATATCTCCCACTACCTAAAGCAGACAGAGCTGGAAAATCTATCTGGCACTGGTGAAGAAGTGGCCATTTAATTGCTCTTTTGAGATGGTCAGGCTTGTTTACCTCTACTCCATTCCAAGGTGGCATGAACACATCGCCCATAAAACCTGACCAATAGAGACCTGTCTGCTGGGGCTGCTGGGCTGTTTGGATTCACATTAATGTCAATGGGAGCTGCTTTGTTTGCAGTGGCAAATGGAGGGAAGTGAGGGGCAGGTCAGGGTGCTAGGTGGCTGGAGTCATGCTGAACTTCCCATCCTGCTCCTGGACTTTCACTCAAAAACATTCATGGATGCCCCAGGCCTGAGGGACACTGGTGGGAAACATGCAGACCAGGACCTGGCCCACTGAGTTTACTAGTCTGAGAAAGAGCAGACCGTAATCAAGTCAGTGAGATAATCTAGATAGCCACCAGGCAATCAAGGAAACAAAACCACTGTGTTCCTGGGAGGGGACAGCAGTCAAGTCCCATGTGCCAAGGGCAGACTTCTCTGAGGAAGAATTCTGGAATGGGGGCCAGAAGACATGGGGCTGGCCACACAGAGATCCCAGGCAAAAGTCTGAAGCAAAGAGAGTTTGAGTGCCAAGTCCAAGGGTTATATGAGTGTGACACTCAAGGATGGGTGAAGGCATGTGGCCTGCAGCATACCACATCCATAAGGCACCCCATGTGCCTAGCTCTGCAGAAGCCCAAACCAAGGAAGGTCCTGGAGACCTGCAGGAGCCATGTACCAACCTAGGGGGACAGAATGGTGAGGGTGGTGCCTGAGTGCCAACCATCCATCTGCCCAGCATCCACTAGTGGTTCCTAAGCATTTCCTATGGACCCTGGGGACACAGAGGGAAGTAGGACAATCTCTCATGGAGATACCATTCTCTCTTAGGAACCTCTCTCTGGGAGGCCGCGTGGGTGGAGCAGCAGTGTGTGGCCTCTCCTGGGATGGCTCCTGGCCTCTGACTTCTATATCCCCCTCTTCCCACCTGACCCATATGACTTTTTGAACTGCACCCTCGCTCCATGTCACATGTACTCCCACCTGAGCCTGTGCATTCAGAGATTCCTACCCCAGGAGTTCCAATGGCTCCCAGGTTCACCTCTCCCTGGAATCACTGTACAACAGTCATCTCCTAATAAAGGTTTCCTGACCACCTTCACGCCTCTGCTGCCCTGACCCCTCCTACCTCACTCTATTTTCCATAGCTATTATCATCTTCTAACATATGCTATTATTTCCTAATTTGATATTGGTTGTTTGCCCCTGCTAAAATATAAATCCTATCTCAGCAAGGATTTCCCCCTCTCTATTCACGTTGTAAGCCCAGCACCTAGAACATCACCTGTAATAGGTGCTCAAAGAATACTGCTGAATGAATACTGAATGAGGCCCTGCTGGGCAAGCACTGGCTGTTAAGCAACCCAAATGGTCACAGCATGGACCCAGCAACCCAATTCTAGGAATTCAGTTCTATCAAGCAACAGGAGATTTGTGTCACCACACATGGAGGCGCTTAATCCTCACAATGCAGTGTAGAAGAAGAAACAGGCCCAGAAGAGTTGTAACTGGCCCCAGGTCACTCAGTTCTGGAGAGACAGAGAAAGACCAACTCAGTGAGGCTTCCTGATCCCCAGTCTGTGAGCTCACCAGGGAGGGCATGCTGAGACCAAGGGGAGCACAGTCAGGATAGGACCAGCATGCATTTGCTGTGGCAAAATGTTCTGGGACATGAAAAGTGACACCTGAGAAAAGTTTAAAGTTACACAAAGAAGACTGATGTTATAATGTTAATTAAAAACATGCTGGAATCAAAATTTTTGTGAGTTCGGCTCCAGTCCTGGGATGAAGAAAGAAAAGACTAGAAGGCTATCCATTAGGCCATCTGGGGTCAGGAGTACAGTTACAAACAACACTTTCTTCTTCCCTCTACTTTTCTTTATTTCCCAAGTTTCTACTCTGACTCACAGGGCTGTCTACTACAGGGCTATTGGCATGGCCTCCTGCACCCAGAAGAGGCAGTGCCCTCCTAGTGTAGTCTGGCTGCTAAACTGATGGGTTAGGGAGGCAGCAGAGAAGAGGGAGAGGGCCCCAGGGGGATGGGCAGGGAGGGAGGGCAGGTGGTGAAGGCTCTCAGAGCTGTCTGGGCCAGGAAGCTCACCACCATCTCGGCCATGGTATGGTCTCTACAGCTCTCCAGCGCTGCCTGGTAAAGGACAGGGCTGAGTAGAACCATGAGGCATGCAATGCTCAGGGCTCCTTTCAGGTCCTGGAAGTCCATGTTTCTGACATTGCTGCTGCACCAAGACTAGTAATTCTTGCTGCACCAAAAGCAGGCACAGGCTTAGGAATTCACCCTCCACAACCTCCCAAAGGCTCACCCCCTGCTCTCTATCCTTGCCCCTTCCTGGTCCCGCCTCTGCTGTGAAGGGGCTGCTCTAAGGCACAGACACATAATCTGGGCTTGGTTCTACCGCCAGGCATAGAGTCCTCTTACTT